AATCTATTGCATAAAGCATAATAATAAAGAGTAAAAGAGAGTAAGCGATTGCGTTGCCATAACATAACAAAATAATTTTTGAAAATTTCAAATCATTTGACGCGAAAGAAAGAGATACTAAACTGATGGATAATAAGAATATAAAAATACAACAAAGAATGAAGAAATAAATGAACGAAAAAAAAAAAACAAAAACACTAAAAAGCTGTCAATTACGTAGATTTCTTAGTTGAAAGTTATTCAAAAGAAAAGTTAAGTTTTCGCAAGAACTTAGTCGAAATATAAGGAAACGAAGAAGTACATGTCTAATTAATTGCAAGATAGAGGATAGAAAAAATTTTTTGTAAAATCGGGAGCCAGAATAAACGCGCACCTTTACACCCTAAACAAATGTCCTTCCAATCTATTTATTGTTTCTTCAAAAGAACAACCACTACAGAGACCAATTAATAGAGATGAAGATCTATCAATCGGTATGCACCAAACAAGGAGTCATATTTTTCATTTTCTATAAGAGAACAAAATTCGGCGGTAACCGAATCTTTTATACTCACCATCGTTATATTATATATAAAGAAGACAAAAGAGATAAAGGAAGAAGGTTTCATGCTCTATATTAATATTGCGTAGGCGTGGTCTATTTTTTCCATTTTTGTGCACAGAAGCTAGAGCATCGTCCGTAGAATATGCTTGCAAATTTTTGTACATTTATTTGTTATAGTTTATGAGTAATGAGCAAAAACCATTTTGTTTTTTCTTTTGCAGAACAGAGGCTTTCCCAGTTTACCTGATAGTGTGGGCGTATTCTTCGACCGGTCTGGCCCATTTCCAAGGAGTTCGAACATTTGAAGTCGATAGCTTCATTTTTGCAGCCAGAAGAACATTTCACACAGACACCACATAGGCGAGCCGACGACCAGACGGACATGGATAATCGATTCAGTTTTTGATGCTCATCAACAATATACTTTACGGGTTCTCCGAAGTTTCCTTCTGGGCATTGCAATCGTTTCGACTGAAACGAATATACTTTTCATTCTTCGGTGATGGGTATAGAAAAGCGAGAAAGAAATTTTAATTTGACAACACTTATGATGATTCAGAAAAGGGTTCTTTATGCGATATGTGACAAAGTGTGTGATTAAATATGGATTCATCGCTACACTCGGGAGTCAAATTAAGAGTCAGGAGGATGACAAAAGCCGTCTAAAGCAACCAGAAAAATAGCGTCACTAAAACAGCTGCAACTTGTAAAGTAAGGATCGGAGTTTATTGTTTGAAGATTGGCACTATTTATTCAAAATCATATGTCTGTCAACAGTGCTGCCATATACTTGTCAAATCGGGGATTTGCATGATATGATATGTGATCAACACCAACAGGTATCAGAATATTGCACAGATGGCGGCATCCTGAATCCTGATTAGATCATCAAAATTCAGGCTTCTTCTTCTACTCTTTTTTTTTTTGTTGATAAAAAATTATTCGCAAAAGAAAAGGAATTAAATGCGTCGTCATAAATAAAAACTTTATTCGTTTTCGATTAAATTAAAAGGATATACATTTCTCGTCTCCTTATAAGGGAGTCGTTAACTGAAATTTATTTAAATAAAAAAAAACAAGCAAGTGTAACAAGTAAGAAAATTATATTCGGTCATGGGCGAATTTCGTATACCCTTCATCCTGATTTAGATATAAGGAAAAGAGATACAATTTTACACTCTATAATACTGGGAGACCGTGGTTGATTTTTTCGAAATTATGACCAACTATAAACTATAAGTGGGCATGGCCAGTTGTTTTTTTTACTTTTGTAGAAATACTACAGTATTGTCCATATAACGTACGGAGCAATGAAAAAAAAAACAATTTTTTATTCTTTTCGAAAAACAGAGGTGTCCTTCGACCACTTTGAACCATTATTAACACCAACCTGCATACAAGGATTTCCAATAATTCTGAAACCCATTTTTGCGGGCAGGAGATATTTTGCAACAAACATTATACAGATGGACAGACAGACGTGCTTATATCAATTCAGAGTTTGACGCTGATCGCTTTTTAGAGTTTCTGAACATTCTTCTGGGCGTTGCAAGCATTTTGACTAAAGTGAATATACATTCCATCATTTGACGATAGGTATAAAAAATGGGTGAAAAGAAAAATTTTAATAGTTGTCAAAAAGCAAAAAAAAAGCTATTTCGTGTTTATTTCAGTATAATTTTCAATTGGTATAATGAAGCCGATTATGCAGCTTCTTCTTGGCACAGTAGCATTTTGAAGAGAATTAGTTGTATTTTTTCATCAAAAATGCTTAAAGAAATTGTTTCTCTAGCCTAGAAATGAAAGCTATTTTAACCGTTTAGGAATATTAACCAAATACTGACGGACACATCTGCTTCTTAATAGTTTATGAGAAGAACAATTTTTCTTCATTTCTCTTCGCATATCTTTGAGGCACAAACGTAATTTTCGCATAAGTAAAGAAGAAATATCGCATTTGAATTTATTGCTTTTCTCTTTACTTTAATGAAATTATTACGTTTGTACGTTATGCATAAGTACGCCAAAGTGGGTTATGAAAATATTGTATTTTAATATTAAACGAAATTGTTCAACGGATTAGCTGTACGGTTTCCATGGAACAGATACGCGAACACATTTATTATTTTTATTGATTTCTTTTTTTTTTTTTATTTTATTATTGCTGCCGTAATCGTACAATCATAGCAACAAAGAAGAAGTGTTTCTATCATGTAAATTTTAAAGGAACACGAACCTTATTATTCGCTAAAATGGTCTTTAAGCGTTCCCCAAACAATCTCTCTCGTCATAATACTTTGTGCAATTTTTGTATGGAACGGGAAAAAGGAAAGAACCGCCAATCACTTAAGATGTTCTGTAACATTAAGTCATCACATAATGGAATAAAAAGGGATAAAATAAGGGAGATAAGAAATAGGTTTTTGACGTGTACTCTATTGTCTTCGATTCGATTGTTTTTGTTCCTTCTTAATTAACTACTAAAACGAAAATATTTCTAGTTATTTACAATGATTTCTCCTGTATAAACAACATATGATAGAACTTTAAATATGACTCGGTTTGCAGAACTATAGATGAAAATTTGGACCCGGATGTAAACTAACAGACTTTCCAGATTATATGTTGCATATTAGCAAAGACTAGAGCACATGCGCAAAGCCAATATACAAGATTTAGACGCAGAGAAATTTGAAGGGCTTTAAAAATGCTATGATATGTTAGGTGAATTTCCCTAAAACGAAAAGTGATAACTACATAGATAAAAAGAATTATTTAAATTTCGCGGGTACTATGAAATGTGCGAATAAATATTTTGGTTGAAAATCAAGATCATATTGACAGTTTTTCTCGATTAACACGATCTTGTACGTTACGAATTTGGAAAAAGAATATTCTTTGATTGTCATGGAGACGGTGCAATGAAGATCCGCATGAGTAAAGAGTTTATAAAAAAATGCAACTTATTTTTTGATCACAATAGCAACAGGCGCGACTGGAACGTTCGCAAACCTTCGGAAAAAACAGATATATGTCTAAGCAAGTCTTATCCTAAGGTGCAAGTTACGACAATTATGTATTACTTCTCTTATATAAGCGTATAGTGAATGAGTAATGGTTTGCTAAATAATTATTCTGTAGAATGTTTTTTATTTCCTTTTCGAAGCCAGAGAAATGATCAAATGAAAAGCAATAATCGTTAAACAAATTGACATAGTTCAACGAATGGATTAAAGATATGGCAACTCTTTCCGCACTGCGCCAGTTTCATGAATTGGGAACGTTGGAATCAACAGCTTGTAATAATCCCAGAACTAAAACATCTCCACTAAACATTTCAACATTTCATAAACAGTGCACCAAGTAGCTCACATCTCTTGGTTAATATTGGCGATCAATAGGTGCCCGCCTATTAGCAAAGGCTGTTAAAGTTCTATCATAATTTAATTTCAGGCTTTTGACATTGTCCCGTAGAAAGATATAAATCTACATTTAGTAAAACAACTTTGACAAGGATGGATATGACGCCACATTTCGACATTTTTCTGTTCACCTCAATTACATTTCGAGGACAATATTTGTAAAGCGGAATAGTTAGACTGTAATTCCAATATTCCTTCCTTAGATAATTACTAAATGTATTTGTTATTGGAATACGCAGAAGTGATCCATGAGCACGCAAAAGACAGGAGAACGTTCTACCTCGATGCGGAGAGCAAGATCACTTTAGTGAGGATCAAGAAGCATATAACTAATCACAAGAGTTTATATTGTATGGGCAACTGTGCAAAGCAGGAATACGATTAGAATTCGTATACAATTTTTGGAAATAATTAGCAAACAAATGAACTATTTTTGTAGACTTACAAAACCATAACGTAACTCCAGACACTGCAAACCTGGAAAACTTTTGCGGTTAAAGTATAATTTACTTTTCGTTTTTGATAAAAACTCTTATTTATTAAGAACATCATGTATACGCAGTTTGTCAGACACTATTCTAAAAATCCTTTAGAAACCCTATTTCTTGTATTTCGTGAGATTTTCAGATGATCACTTTGGACCAATTTGGACGATTCGATGAGACTACAACCACCTTTGGCTAGCCTTTATATTTTCATAACTCAAATTCCAATAAATAGCAGAGAGGAGATTAAAAATTCTTTTGTATTTTGTTTTTCTGAATAGCTTTTTCAAATTCCCATAATTTGAAAATATGTGTTCACAAACGTGTCGTCTTTTCAACGGCAGCTGAAACGAATCTTTTTATCAGTATAGCCTTACGCGGCGCCTTAACATTTAACTTACAACTTACCGTAGAACTGAATGTTTATCAGTAGTCGCTGCTCATAGAGGGTCATTTCATCAATATTATTCTTGACAAGCGTAACTACTGTATAATAATTTAGTAAATGTCAGCTGATAAGGAAAAATAAGGGTTAACAGTGCTTGGAACTGGACTGAAATTTTGACGAGAAGGCCCAGTTAGCAGAGTTTTCTTTTGTTAAATCGATAGACTACATATCGCTTTGAGTAGCCGTAAATATATATAGGTTGGTTCGAAGTGAACGTGTACGTTGCTAAAGCTGCATAAAACTTAATTTTTGTGCCATGTTATTAAAATAATTAAAAATAATGAATGTCGGATCAAAGATGATCAGGATTGAGAAATTCACACATTTTCACGTACAAAGTAAATATTACAATCGCCAAAAAAGTTGATTTCCTTTGGAAATACATTTTAGACTGTTTTTATAGACTAAAGCTAATGAACTTATCTTAAAAAGAAGTCCTTGTCTCAACCACGTGGTATGTATTTTTCAATGCTTGCAGGCGTTCGGGGTGGTATTGACTGCAAACACGGACAAGCAGCCTTATGCATTTTATTTATCGAAACTCAAACTGGAAAGTTCGGAAAGCCAAACAACGTTGGGTGCGGCCGTTCGGATAGTACTCGTGGTGGCCGTGGTTACCTCAATTGCAGGTGCAATAAATAACAGGAGGTGCAAGTAGTTCTCGCCTTGCCCAGACGAGAGGATTTGAATCACACGCAAATCTTCAGCTGTAATAAAGGCCATCCAAAATATGGATTGGGGACTGCTGATAACACAAGTAAATTGCCCTATAAGCTTCATCTATTTAAGCTTCGCGGCAGTGTGTAGACTTTCATTGAGAAGCGACATGTGAAGCGAACAATGTTCATCATACTTACTTTCCTTCAAGTCCTGCATACGTTTTGTACAGTGGCAAGATGTTCGTTGGAAATGATAATGACCACCCAAGCCTTGCTTATAGCAATGCCTTCCGAAGAATAATATTTTTCTCCAAACAAATTTTTTTTTTGTTTTTTTTTTTCTTCAATTTATTTATTTTTCACTTTTATAATATAATGTATGTTGATGTTAATAATACAAAAAATTTATGAAAAATTTGGAAAGCATTTTTGAACAAAGTAGAAAACGTAACGTGTATACAACTATTTTAATTATCTAGAATAGAAGTTTTTCTATCAAAAATTTTCATTATTTATGATAATACAACGTAATTATGTATAAATTGAACGATATTTTCCTCTTTTTTGATGATATTTAAAAACTTAATCTCCCTTTTTATAAACATAGCAACAACAAAAAAATAAAAAAAAAACATAGAAACAAACAAACAAACAAAGCATTTAAATACAGGAATCTGTGCGCATTTTATGCATTCGTTCAATATAATAATAATAAACTATGCTAATTTACTAAATACATATACAAACTAACACACGTTGAACATGAAACGGAGATAATTTATGCAAAAATTGTTAAAAAAGATTAAATTAATTGGAATGTTTTAAAAATCCTCTGTACGCATATAATGCAAACAAGAGCAGCAGTAAACGACAACGGCATAGCTATAGGTGAGTATAGGTGAATACATTTCTTTCCACCTCCGGACTGAACATAATATAATGTACTCCCATATAGCCGCAAAGAGGGGATATGCATCTAAACTCTTAGGATTATGGCTGTGAAAGCATTTCTATATACATATAAAAAAAAACAAAAAAACAAAAAAGAGAAAGAGAAAGAAGAGGACAAAAAAAAGAGAGAGAACAAATATTGGAAAAGTTATATTCGATCTGAAACGAATCTTGAATACTCACCCATACAAACGTCATTGTAAAAGTCTTCCATTTTCGTTTTAGTGGCCAATGGTCGCAATCGCAACTATTATCTCATCCGACTTTTAAGTTGCATAGCTAGGATTTGCTACGGATCGTAATTTATTATATAGAGTAAGCGTATTTATTAGCAAACGGGTGAAATCTAGTTTCATTTTCGATGGGTGGCCGTCATGAAACGTTTGCCAACCAGAAAGAAAATTCAGGTATTTCTCTCACCTTTTCCAGACGGGTAAAATTATATATCGAAATCGTCGCCAAGATACCAAAAATGCATATATAAATGTTTCATAAGATCCTTGCCTGCATTTTTAGATTTATTAAATTAGATTAAGATTTATTAAATTATCCAGAGAAATAAATTTTAAGATTAAAGTCTTAAAGCATTAGGTCGATTTGAACCGACGACCATTGCGTGGCTAGTCGAGATCCTACAGAGCCTACAGAGCCACTAAGGCGAACATTAAAACAGAAATCACAAAAACTATTAAAAATTTTCTTATTCGGCGAAAAAAAACATGCATTTGTCTTAAGACTTGTTTTGGCCGACAAGCCAAACGGGTCCCGCACTTATCATTTCTTACAACTGTTTTTCATGGAATCTTTTAATTCTTTTGGAAAAGGTTTCAATCTACCATTTCAATTTTTATGATTTTTCTAAAGCAGGCGTAAAGCGGGAAAAAATCGATAGAATCCGGAGAGCTTTAATAGCTTGGATAGTATTTGGATGGGGACACAGGTAAGGGAAAGAATGGCAGAAGGGAAGAGCGAAAAACGCATAATTGTATTAGTCTCACAAATATACTTAAATTGTTGGATTTCTCTTGAAGACTTTTAACTAAGTGAATGAAGAGGAACGCAAGCATTGTATATAACAAATGCACTAAGTTAACCTTTTAATCTTTCCTCCAGTGATTTTCATTACGCATCTGCTCAAAGGTAAACGTTTTTGGGACCAAATAGTACTTTCTATGTATATATCTAAACATAACCTTGGTGAGGTCGTCTTTGTAATTTTATATGTTCTCGAGGGCCCTACTAAAGAGATAAAGAAACCAAATTGATGTAAACAAAATATGTGTACAATAAAACATGAGAAAAGGAATTAACAATTCGGGGGTGAAAAGGGGACTTCAAAAAAAAAATGAAAGCACTTCACTACTGGCCAAGCTTTGCTGTACATACACGGCACCCTCCTCATATTTATTCATTGTCCTGCATGTTTGACTGGATGTACGTATATTATAAATTTTTTTTTTTTTTTTTTTTGGAAAAGGAAGGGGTTAAACGAGATTAGGTGGTATGAGTGGTAAAGTAATTAAAATGTATAAAACTAAAAGCTTTTATGTAGAACTGATTATATAGAAACTATTTTTATAACACGATTATATTAATAATATTAAACAAATTTAGTTCGTTTTTCTAAGCGGACTCCATTGTTGTAAAGGTTTTAGCTATAAATTAAAATTTTTAAAATAACATTGATGAAAATGCAAATTTTTGCAAAATTGCATTACAAAGCCAGTCCGGAGGTACTCGTTAATGAAATGCTCTACGAAGAGAAGAAAATATATTATAATAATAATAATATATATATATATATATTTGGTATGTATGTATAAAAGTATCACAAAAGGGAAAAGATAATTATTTATTAATGACTTTTAGATGAGAATTTCACACAATTTTCTAGCAAAAAAAAAAAAAAAGAAAAAACTCAATTGATTTTTCTCTTTTAATGACGCTTACATCCTTTATAAAGATTGGTCGGCGGGAAAGCTTACTACATATGATAAAAGCAGTTGATCTATTTTCTTATTATTGCTATAAGTAGTGTAGTGGGGACAATATTTTTGAGACGAATGCATATACTTCCTCGAAATATTTTCAAAAATTTGTCTTAAATAAAAAATTCTTGAGCTCTACACAATATGTTTTAGCTCATTTCTAATCATCTTTCAATATGTTTTGTCAAGATGTACGTCTTAGTTTGTAACGCTTTGTTTTGCATCAAAATATCGCAGCAATTAGTGAGTGATATTTGTTTAAAGTTCGTTGCATTGTTTTTTCGACATAAGGATTGACAACACTCTTTTATTTGTGATCTGCTCAGCACCCAACCGCTTAGGTTAAATAACTTTTTTTCTTTATGTACTATGTTCATCTTCCCCGAACTGATAAGCGAAATTGATCGAGGCTTACTTCGAATTCTTTGTAAGGGAAAAACGCATTGAATTAAATTTACATAAACGTGATAACTATCTTTCTTTCTAAAACAGGAAAAAAAATATAATTTTAATGAAAACCTTCTACAAATGATACACGCTTTGACTACTCGCAATAAAGAGCTATAATGGTTGCATTCCATGATTGCTACAAGGCCTGATGAATTCATCAAACTTTTGCTCATCAAAAGAACGTTTATACGTAATAAACCTTCCCGTGAACCTTCCAATATGGCATAAGAAGTATCACTGAAAATATAGATCAAATATTTCACAATTAGTATGACATAAAAAATTTATAGGCAAATTTGCGATAAAAATCATTTTTAATTTCCAAATAAATACATATGACGTATATATATATTTATACATATCCTGCAAAGAAATTTGTTTTTTTCTCATTTTTTATTATAAAATTAATTTCTGCAAATAAACGTTAAAAAAATACGTTTGGTATAAATATATGAAATTTGTTGAGAGCGGATCTGAAAAAAAACAAAAAAATCAATAATTAATTAATGTGCATGAAAAACCAATTTCGCATGCACACAAGCACGCACACCCATACGTTCGTTCAGAGTTTTCTTGCCAGTGCTTTTGTTGCGTTGACAATCGACGTTACCTGCACATATTGTTCTTCATTTTGCGAACCAAACCAAACCAAACCAAAAATCCAAACAAACAACAAACTGCCACACGCGCCAACAGCTAGCTATACATAAAATAAAAATCTGTAGGAAGAAAAAAAAAAAAACAAAGAAAAAAGAAACTGGAAAAAAACAACATATCGCGCAGTATGTTCTTCTTTTTCATATTCTTAAATGGAGAGCATAATAAAATAGGGTAACGGATATTTTTCTAAAGGTGGGGAAAAATAGGCCGCAGGTAAAATGCAAAAACGAAAGAGAGAGCATTAAACGAGTTTTAAAAGCTATAAAGGAAATTTCATCATACAAGAAATCATTTCATGCAGCTTCGCCAGCCTGGGAACGAATCTTGAATGCCCGACCACTTGTGGTCAAAACATATCAAAAACTTTTATTTTTTCCTCATTATTATAGAGGCCGTGTGCATGAAAGATGTTTCTAGAAATTTGTTAAAAAGTCGATCAAAAATTGAAATCAATAAAAATGACGTGACTTGAAAATCGAAGATTTATACCGAAACTATTGCATGCGATCTGCTGTATAGGCGAAATTTAATTGACATGAGCATATTTTCGCGTATCGCGGTTAATTGACGCAAAGACACATAAGATAAAGCTTAATCGATTCAGAATTTCACATTGAAAGTTTGTAAATACACTTTGGTCGCGCTATTCACTTCTAATTTTCAGAAGCGAACTAACTACATTTTTAAGTTTCACTTCAAGTTGATAGTTAAACGAAACGAGCTTGAGGAAGAGGATAGAAATGTAGCTTGTTCTTAAGTGGTTCGTATACTTAAAGTGATTTTATGATGTTATTTTCCAGCTTGCTTTCGCTTATTTTGCAGTATAAACGCATACAGTATTCTTTTGGTAAATTGAAAAACCTCATAATAAGATGAAAATAATTTAAACCTGCTGTGATAGTAAATAATGACAGTAGCAAGAAGGAAACCTCTGGCGATATACAAGGTGTGCTGAAAGAAAAAGGTGGCTTTTTAAATTTTTGTGAATGACGATGGCTTTCCTGGAAGTTCTTCAATAGCCGATGAAAACGCTGAAGCAGCAAAGAAAATTGTTATAGACATATATCGTGAAATCGCTAGTAGAGAAGTTCTAAGAATGTCGGCATATCGGTTGGCTTATGCCATGCAATTTTTTTTGAATGTTTTAGACATGAAACGTATGGCACGATGATGCATCAGGCTCGAAGTAAACATGCCTCAGTCTCCGTATTCGCTGAATTTAGACACTGCGATTTTTTCCTGTTCCCAAAACTAATAAGACTCATGAAAGGACACAGTTCGGCCATGATTAAGGGGGTAAAGATCGCATTGCTCAAGGCCCACATATCAGAAGGTCTTCAAGGAAGGTATCGCCCCTTGCTGGGCGCAAGTATAAAGAGGACTACTTTGAAGAGGAGAAAACAAACATAGGTGAATAGTACGCTCAGCAGTCATAAAATACAAAATATCGATGTGGAAAATATGTATAGATATGTAAGCATTTTTTTTTTCTTTTTGTCTTTTTTTTGTAAGCAACTCTAAAGTTTAGTATTTTCTTTCAAGGAATAAAGAAGAAGCGGTGGAAATGGATTTGGAAATTGGGTTAATTGTTGCTTAAATACGGAATTTATACATTTGCACGTACGTACGATGCTAGCAAGATGGAAGCATATGTACGCAAATGCATGTACAGTTAATATAATGTGCAAACACTCTTTAAAGGATTACGTTAAGTAAAAAACAAAGAAAGTACGAAACACAAGTACGTGAAAATGCTACGTACGCCTTACACCGACTTAGAAATGCCTGCCATTCTATATTGAAATCTACATAAGATCTATAATATTGAGTCTATAAATAAATTTCGTTACTATTGTTACTATATATGACGATGCATTAAGAGAATGAGAAATTATAAAAAAAAAAAGAAATTTCTTAACATAATCTTTTACTTAAGTGAGCTAAAAAGAAGAGAGTGAGTTTTATTTCAATCACTTTTATGTGACTATGTTTAGAGAGTTAACGATCACGGTCCATTTTTTTCCTAAAAGTCCCAAGGTTTTATGTGTTAGAATTATTGACTTTGTGCCAGCGTGCTACGTACCATTGCAAAGGCTTTGCAAAATTTCAGAATGCTTGGACATATGAAGGTGCTCGAAACTGCCACACTAACACGGAAGCAATAATGAAAGCCGAATCTTAGTTTGTAAATATGAAGGAATTTAGTCAATGGAACCGTCTGCCCGTTTAATACATAAATTGGTATATAATTCCCAATCGATAGTCGCTCCAGTTTGAATTAAGAACAAATTCTGTTGAGACAGCAGCTTACGTAATAACGCTAGTCCATATAAGATCCATTTTGAGATCGAAATATTCAATCGGAAAAGAAACTATGACTATGGGTGCATAAGTCAAGTCTCGATTTCTTATCCAAAAATTCCCCGAGGCATACAAGTAGGTATGTGGAAGCAGCTTGGTTTTCTATGCTGCGGCAAACGCCCTTCATATCTGTAATCGATGTATTTAGGTGGTATCGATTGAAATAAGGAACACAGTTCATTTCTACCTACTGATGTTGTTGCTGAATATAAACGAAAGCTTTCGAAAGAAGAAAGTTTCTTTTTAAGGTTATTAAGAACGAACATGAAATGCGTACACAAGTGTGTTTTCTTATGCGTATCATCATATAAAATACAGCAAACATATAAAGAAGATAAAGTAAATGTTTATAAAGTTGTTTTTTTTTGTTGTTGTTTTTTTCGGTATAATTTTGAAAAACAATAGAATGAAAGAGATAGAGAAACTAAAATATGATTTGCATTGTATGAGAGTAGTGCGGATGGGGAGTGTCTAAGTGCTGGGAGTTAATAAAAAGAAAAATAAAAAAAATAAAAAAAGTTTTTTATCTTTTGATTCTAAAGCGAAAACTTTATTTTAGATATAAGATTATAAACAGGAAAACATAAGGCTTTGAAATAAGTTCATTGACGAAGTTAAGAGACTGCATGCGCAACATTTAAGGTAACATTGATATAAGGTCTTGTTGTTTGATGTGGAAGTAACCAACAGAACCAATAAACAAATCGTTCGTCTTCTCTTTATCTTTCTTTCCGCTTTTTTCACATTCACTTAATCTGATTGAGTTTTGATGAATCAATCTTCTTTGCAGCGAAAACAAAGTATTGAAGTAAATAAAGGAAATTGTAGAATGCGCTTATCTTGTTTCCATTGTTTCCCTGAAGAAGGAATGAAACAATTGAACGGAAAAAAAAAAAAAATCTTTTAAAGAATTTAAAAAAAAAATGTTTTCTTTCTTTTTTTTTTTTTCTGTTTAGTGTTACGATAAAAATTCTAAATACAATTAAAATGATTTATTATTGACCACGGAACAGAAAACTTATACAACGACTTGATGGTGTTGCTTGCCTTTGTGTGGTCAGCTTTTTAGCAAAAGAAAGTTATGTGGTTTTTGCTTTTAGTCTTTGCTTTTAGTCTTTTCTTTTTTTAGTTTAAGTCTCGAAAAGTCCATCAATTGCGCAAATTCAACATAAATCTTATTAATTGTTAAAAAAAAACTGTAAAAAATGTAATCAATTTTTATAAGAGGATTAAGAAAGGGGTGTAAAATAGAAGCGAAGACGAAGAAATAAAAATGAAAAGAAGTTTTTTTTCTTTTTCTTTTTTTTTATGATTTACGAGCTAATTGTGATTAATTACAAAACAACAATTAAAAAAATTATTGACGTTTCGTGTACATTAATAAATTCATTTTATATTGGAATGTTGATATCTCTTTAAGGCATATGTATGTTTTCTTGATCAGCATGAAATTTAAAAATCAATTATTTTCGCTTATCTGCCTGTTGGCATAAAGCGATGTTTGTTAATGTCCTGAAAGACTATAAAAATTTCATTAAACATTCCGCCCCGGCCATGAATGGGGTCATATTGGCTTCGCTTATAATTATATAACTTTTGTGGTTTAGTAATTTTCGATAGAAAACAAGAGCTTTTGAATACTTTACAAATTTTTTATAATTGAATCTCGTCAAGTTTAAGTCAACTACTGAGGTTATGTCCAATTTTGGGGCGAACTAGAAGAAGTAAAGTAAAGCTTTGAAAACTTTTTTTTTTTTTTTTTGACTCATGCGAAATATATAATTTTGATCAACGTTGGATAAGCTTGCAAACAGGCAGAGTAACATCAATGTACCTAGAAATTTGTAAACTTTTGTTAAAACTTAATTCAAATATGCTTGTGCTCGAGCATCAAATCTACTCATAACTACATTCGCTTTCGGTGTAAAAACTTATTTGCTTTTACAAATTATACCGAAGCGCAATCTATTTATACATATATAAATCAATGTGTGGTACACATTGTGAAGCAACAAAACCATTCATTCGATCGAAGTGAAACTTATGCCTAATATTTGTTTCCACGGAAGGAAGCTGTGAAATGTTACCAGGTGATGGTGCTGTTTGTTGTCTAAGTTAAATCTTATTGAACGGATTGTAACCAAATTTACATATAATATTTAACTCTATAAATATATTATTAATATCGCAAAAATGCAATAATTTTTATTTTTATTCGTTACCTGATCGTTTCAAACGGATTAAAAGAAATAAGAATGGTGTAGAGTGTTGCGGTTCACAATTAAATAATCAACACCTTACCATTATTCATATAACTACTTTTGAAAGTACGAAAATTAGACGAAAAGATGGTCCGATCCGAAGCCCTTTCAAGCTTCGTCCTTGGATTAAAACTTCATCAAAATATGTCAAAAATTACGGACTGTAGGCTAACCACAAGAGAACAAGACGGACAGACCAGTGTACATTGATTGAAAAAGTGATTTTGAAAAGGTGGGAAAACTAAAAACTCTCCTATTTACTTCTCTATATGATTTTTAAAAAAAATATATGTGCGACAAAGTTCAACAGGTCACCTACGTGTTTATGTAGATAGTTAAAGGTTTACTATATACAGAACTATGTCAATAAGGGGTTAAAACGCTCTTGTTCCCACCCATATTTTATAGCATATTATAATTGGTTTTGAAGTGAATCTTGAATATCACATCTTAGCAACGAACTCTCATGCGATAAATATAACATAAACATCTAGTTCAGTATAGATTGTAGATTATTCGAAAAAGTTCTTTTTTATATAAAGAAATACATTAAGTCAGCCATTACCGAGTGTTTGTAAACTACGGTCCTGAGCTAAAAACATCGATGTCAACATTCAACTTTGCATCTCAAGTTTTGCAACCGTAGAAATTCTCATAACAAACAATGGATGGATGGAGAACGAAGAAACTTCTAATCAGTCGCATCTTAAGGACATATATACATATATATGAAACTTAAAAAATTCCTTTTTATTAGAAAGTATGTTGATTAAGCCGATTTGATGATTTTTATGGCAGAAATTTTTACCAAGTATTTACGAAACGTTTCAGATTAACACCTAAAACAACCATTTAATTAAATTCGTTAAGCAATGACAGTTTTTGAAAGGATTAAGTAGTAAATTTACTGCTAGGATTAGATTTATTTCAAATTTTCCGACAATAATCGGCAAAAGCACAATTAACTTGATTTTGAATTTTATATTTCAAAAAAGAAAATATACCTAAATATATCTGCGAAGCGTAGAATCAATTCGATATTTAAATGCTAGGTTTAAATGCTAGGTATAACAAACGGAGCCGTTTAAAAAAAAAAAATTCCCTTAAGTAAATGAAAATTTGATTTTTTTTTTTTTTTAGTTAATTATAATGAGGGACTGGTCGCCTGACAAGTATCACTTTTTTGCCTTGATATGAATAGAATTGTGCCTAATATCCGACTTAACGTAAGTTGTAGGTTATATTTAAAAGTTTGTTCGCAAATTTTATGTGCTTATAGTAAGACTTCTTAAACGTGTCCGATTACAATCGCCCGGAGTATGACTTTCGCCAGCTTTATCGCTTGACGGTAAGTTTTAGAGGTAAGCTCGGCATTGGAAAGTAACTTTTAAACTTTTCTACCTTTATATCTACAGTGATCGATAGTTGAGGACGGATACCAAGTGAAGTAGACCGATCGAGATTACTGAGGAAGAACTAATCTAGTAAAGCTCTACCAACATATGATGATGCTACAGTCAACCCAGAGTTATAAGCAATTACAATTTCTTTGATTATGATGGCGAGCCACTCTCTGGTTTTGAAAATTATTTCTGCATTTTAAGTAAAAGTTATAAATATCTAAAACCTGCCGATTGATTTGACAAGTCCACGGTACGGCCGTGAATAGCAATTTTCGTTAGCTTATGATCCACCTGAGGGCAGGTAATGCCAACATTTCCGACTTGTTGCTTTCCTATGGAATGCTTTGTTAAAACAATCAATTTCATACAACGTGCACTTATGGTATTAATCCGTCCGAAGACTATAAAATGATTTTGAAATTATTTTCAAGTTATGTTAAACTACATCCTTTGAATTCTGAATCGATAAGCTTGATGGCATATGCAAAAAATTGAACGTAAAGTCATCTTATTTCTTATACTTTAGGCCGAATGGAAATGAAAATGTAAAGGAAAGATATTTAGGAGGGAAGGAAGAAGAAGAAGACGAAGGTATGCACGCGAAGATTAATTGTGTTTTCTATATTTAGATTAATTATCAATATCAAAAAGAGAGTATTCGCAGGGATAGAAAAAAGCAATGAGAATAATAAATTGAAAAATCATATTTAATACACACCAGGACTTCCCAAATCAGTGAGATTAGTGTTTGATGTGTCCATGGCAGCGGCAAGACCAGTGGCCGTAGTTGCAAGCCGCAACAGCAGGAGACAACATAACTGAAGACCAAATAAACTAATAATGTTTTGGGCAAAATGGCAAACTGTAACGCGATTATGGTGCCTTAAATGTTGCTGCTGCTGCTGCTGCTGTTGTTGTTGTGATGATATTCGATGCCGATGAAATGGACGTCTGGTGTTTTCCTTTCTTGCTCTAAGACAATTTTGACTATTACAACTACTACTATTACTACTACTATTACTACAGTGCTTGTAGATTTTGCTGCTGTTGTTGTTGTTGTTGTTATTCTTGCTGTTGAATGTGATACTGTTACAATAGCTCCTGCTGTTAGGGTTTGTTAAAGTGGTCGCTATTGTTGTTGTGGTTGTTCTGTTGCTTATTGAACTATTGTGGTTGTTGTTAGTGATACAATGTTGATGAAGGCGTTGATGGTGGTAATGTTGGCGGCGGTGTTGGTGTAGATGCAGATGATGATGATGCTTCTCTTTGTTTCCATGGTCTCGTTCTTGTTCGTGTCGCTGATAAAGATGAATATGGTTTGTAGTTAAATCTCCCCTGCTGTTGCAACTGCCACCGCTGTTGTGGTTGCATTTGTAACGTTTGTTACTAACAACATTGTTGTTGCAATTGTTGTCATTGCTAACATTGTGCCCATTGAATTTTTGCAACTTGTTTACTAGTTCAGTTTTTTCAATTCGATGATTAAAAGTATAGTTTGCTGAGCTTTGACTGTTAAAGCCGCAACAAATACTGTTGCTTTTCTTATTACTATCACTGTTGTTAAAGTTCTTCTTCTTCTTTTTGTTGTTATTGTTGTCAATGTTGCTTTTAAAGCTTTTGTTTACGTAAAACATCATCGTCATCATTTTCCATTTGGTTTAAGAGTGCATTGATAGCGTAAAAGACATACAACAAGGAATCGTCAATGATGGCGTTTATTATACAAGAAGACAATGCATTCAGTTTTTATTGTTGCTGGCCTTGTTATTCAAATCGTCGTCGTTATACGGTATAAAGTATCGATTATTGGTACTGTTTTCGAATTTCTTTTTTTGTTGTTGTTGTTGCTGTTGTTGTTCCTGGTCTTGCTCTTGCTTGAAGTGAAGATAGTCTCTTAACTCTGTTCGTATTGTTGTCATTATGCAAAAAGGACGACAAAAATGATGATGACAACGACAATGATGACAACATGACATCGTTTAATTGTGAGAAAAATATACAATAAAATAATAGATCAGTATCAATATCCTTTACTCAATATGAGATTTTTACATCTGATGGTGCGGTTAAAAGTTAAACGCACTTACACATATATTTTTATGTATATTGTTCAGCTGTTTTGTACTTTTTTTTTCTTTTCTTTTAATTTGTCAAAGTTTTTTAATCGTTTTCTTTACGTGAGAGTAATATGCACGATGCGTACGCAAGTAAAACCTTTAAGGAAATGAGCGAAAGTCATTTAAACACTATGTTCAACACTGCATATGTCAGTCAATTCCGTTAATATGAACGAAATATTATATATTTATATACATATATATATATATATATATATATATATATATGTATATAAATATATATATAAATGTACACTGCTTATTATTCCTTTTTGAGTTCGATTGTTGATGTGTCTTTATGCTTATTGTTTATGCGCTCGAATGTTGTCGGTCTCTTGTCCGTGCTGTTCTGTGTTTCTATTAGCACCAACAGCAAAAACAATTGTTGTTCTCTATATCCAACTAGCGATCAGTAGGAGACATTATCGCTTGTTATGCGTTTGTTTACGTTTATTTTTCCTGCAACGCATTATTGTTTACTTTTATTTTACATTTATTTATTTAGTTATTTACAATCAAAAATTGTACGTTTTTTTTTCTTTTATTTTTCACTGCGGTTTCTATTTGTTTTTCTCATGCGCGTGCGAGAGTGTCTCTTTTCTGTTTTGTTGTTTTATTTCAAATGTTAAACAACAACACCATGTCAATCCATCAATATCTTTATTTTAATTTGTTTTTTGTTGCCGTGAATTTTTCTTTATTTATATATATTTAAAGTTGAAGTAAATGTTGATTTTTTTCTTTATATAGTAATAGTTGTTAATGTGTTCCGTTTCGAAGTAAATTTATTCTATAACAATAATTGTTTTTTCCCTAAGTGTTTCTCTGCAAAAGAACAAAAACAAAAAAGAAGAGTGAAATAAATATAAAAATATTTTAAAATTTCTTTACTGTAATTACTTAAAATTCATTGTTGATTTTTATGCAATAAAAAAGTTCTCTTTAAGGACTAGAAAGAAAAAAAAGCTTTTAAGAGGATTTCTTTTTTTTTTCAACTTTTGTAAAATGTTTGCATATGTAAAAGTATTTGTGCAACATTTGATGTTAAATTAAAAGATATAAAAGTTAGAAAGTCATTTTTCGTCTTCAGAGCGAACGAAAATATGTTTAATGTGCCAACTGATATTTTTGCGCTAAATTGTATTTCAACAAATTTCGACAATGAATATAACTTTGTTATTTATTTATTTATTTATTTATTCGGGTAATGCAAAGAAACCTAAAGTTATTTATTTTATCGTTACATTCACATATGTATTCATATATCTATTCATATAATCATTTTATGGAAAATAGTATAATTCGCATTAAGACGGGATTACGATTAGTAACAACAGAAACGGACATAACGGACGATAACAATCGTTAGTAACAACTAAGTAAAACAGGCGACGAGGTTACATCAGTTTCTTCTTCTTTTGAAGGTTCATGAGTTTCAACGCATATAGCTTATCGAGGCAGATTACGACTGCAGCGTTCACAGCCCCAATCCTTGTAAGAGCGAGAATTAATCGACTTTGAAAAATCGAGTTAAGAGCTTAGATACTTGGCTTTTATCGAATAACCCCAACAATGTGTTTAATGCGTTCCCTTAATCGTGGTTATAACAACAAAAAGGAAGAATTCCTTATTCACGATAAGTAACTCAAGTAAGACAAACCATATTTTGCAGATAACATTTTTGTTAAGCCTTCCCTGCGTCAACCAAACAATTGGAAGAAATTTTATTAGTAGCTTGTTTTCTTTTTATTTCCATGCATAATACGACAACGTGCAACGAAGTAGTGATCCTGATAACCCTAGTAGACCTATCAAGAAAAAAAGTATTTTTTTGCAGGCTTGGCTTTTTACGCTAGCATAGCCCGCCTTCAGAAGGATGCAGAATGATACTTTTGAAGGCAAACGCTTCTCTAATATTTCGCGGCCTTAGGTACATTGAAAGAAGGCGTAATTGCTGGTCTTTGTGCGATTACGAAAATAACAGAAGGTGCATACAATCGAAATAGTGTAGGATGTTTGAGGACCAGCGTAGATCATTTTTCTTATAAATCTGTTACGACTTAATTAACACTGCTTAATAACGACCTTCGCATGTAATTTTATCTTCAACTTCAATGGGCTGAAAAGAAAAAAAAACCATCGTAAACTCATGAAAAGATGTACATGACGTGCGGAGAAAATAGGGTAGAAAAAGATTCTTATAAGTTGTTTGTATACTTTCATTGTAATGTATTTCTGGTCGGTCAATCAGTGCAGACAGTTATCTAATCAATAAAAACACATTAGTTACTTATCCCTTGGAAACGTATCGGAAAGCTTTAAAAGCGCTATTTTCCTTATGAATCATCAAAACCGCGATTTTATTGTAAAGTTATGTTAACTTAAGCAATTTAGAGTGTCACGCTGGGAAAATTCGAGCTATGTTCGTTATTTTTTTTTTTTTTTTTTTTTTTTTTTTTTTTTTAGTATAAACAATCACTCAGGCCATGTTTCCCTATTCGTGTCACACAGCGTTGGTCAGAAAGAAGTGAAGAAAGGGAAAGCGGGAAGAAATGGTAGTAGCCTTATGGGTATGGGCCTAATCCGTGAGTGCTATGCCTTGACCGATTAAGCGCTCACTGTAGCTATGACTAAAGTAAACTCTACAGCATTGAGATTTGAATCCTTTTGACAGTGGTTTGCAATTTCTACCTGTTCGGCTACTCTTGCGTGTAATTGGATTTAAGATGAGTACAGCAATTCTTTTTTTTATTGCAGACAACAAGTTCTGTTATATTGTTTTGCGTTACAATGGCCTGACAATCAGGCCATTATGTTAGGTACATTTTTCTTGCTATTCAAATAGTAATATTGAAAATGGCTTCACAAAGCAAAAAGGAAGCATAATATCTATTTTAACCATAAACGACCAATTTATTATATGATTAACAGTCCTTATGGTACACTAATGGTACACTTTCTTTTTTGTTGATTAATCCTTGAAAAGATATGAAAAGATAAAGTACAACTTATAAGCTTGTGAACAGAACTAGCGAAGAATGTTAAGTTGATTAGATCTTGAAAACAATGAACAGTGGAGTAAAGTTAAGTTTTTCCATTGTCTTCATGCAATCGGAGTAGAGTGTAGAGATATTTACGGCTGAGTGATTAATAATTACACGTATTTTAATTTTTTTATAATTATACATATAAAGATGATTATTAAATAATAATTAATTTTTTTTATATTTTTTAAATAAAATATTTACGAATAACATAAAAAAAATTTATTTGGTTATTAATTGCACTCTTCATTAAGCCAAAGTCTCTCAAGTGCCTATAAACATGTAAGTACCTGTGCATATAATTACTTATACATATGCAAATATTTGAATGAATACATATATATATATATATACATATACATATATATAGGTACGAAAATATATATATATATATATATATATATATATAATAACTGCACAGTAAACACTTTGATCGCAATAACTTTTGACGACCTTGTTCAAAGCTATTAAATATTTTTAACACTTTATAAAAAACCGAATCTCTATAGATATGAACAATGTACATAAGTAAATGAAGGTATATTAAATTTACTAAATCGTTTGTTAACTTCGAAGAAATGGTTTAGAAATTTCAAAAAACCGTAGAAAAAAAAGCGCAGCATATCTGCTTGTTGGGCTTTTGTTATCATGAAATTTTCGATACAACAATTCCCTGATATCATGCAAATACTTTCTAAAATTTCCATTTTAAAAATCTGAAAGTTTTTCTGGTTTACAAGCGATTCTTAAATAGCTTACGTGTAAATATGTACAAATCAACTTAAAGACTTCAGTTTGACTAATAAAGCCTTGATAAATATTCGAAATGAATTTCACCTCTACAACTATTGTAATATGTTGATTGTGTGTGTGTGTGTGTGTGTGTGTGTGCGTGTGTGTACACGATATTATTTCAAATTTTGGCTTCGATTAGGTAGGTCAACGTTTTCATCCTCAGTTTTCGAAAACTTGACAATCCTCTGTCTGAACTTCATTTAATGGGTCTCTATATACCTTGGCCTTCGCCTTAGCCCTGACTTCTTTGCATATTTCAATACATTTTAGATCACTTAAGCGAGAACAGTATCCGAAATTCGTTTCACGATAAATATTTTCCATCTCTCTTATTGGTTTTGTAAATAAAACTTAATAGTATAACAAGTTTAAAAGAGTTTTTTGCGGTTATTTGCTATCGTTGTTGTTGTAGTTATCTGTCGTTTTTCAACCAAATAAATGTGATGGTTATTATTTTTGTGGTTCACCTCAAGCAAACTAACTTACTTCGATAAATGAATTTATTATATGAATAAAAATGTAGTTTGTCGAGATAATAACATTTGAAAATTAATGTTTTGTTGCTGCCCTGTTCCCTTTCTCTCTCTCACTCTCTCTCACTCTTTGAGTCATTGCAGCCAATAGAGTTGATGCCAAAGAATGCTAAAGTATTTGTCTTGCTGTCTATTGTACAATATAAATAATAGATAGCATAATTTTCAAAATGTGGTTCATTTTATATAAATTTTTCGGAAAAATTTCATTATTATTATAATAAATAGAAAACTATTATAAATAATGAGAAGTTATAGAAAAAGGAGTTAGTTGTTCAACACTTTCTTTTTTTAAGAATTATTAGGGCAAACGAACACACTTAACTAACTAACTATTGAAAAGTATTTGATTATAAAAATTACTTCACCAATATGTTACTACTACTACACGCTGTTCAAACGTTGATAAATGTTTGTAAAACTAGAAAGAAATTTATCAAAGGCTGCTGTTGTTGAAGGAGCTGAAGATTGATTTGTTGTATGCATTAACACACATATTACTATAAATTGCTTGTAGGAGATATATATGTGTATACATAAGCATATCGGATAACGCTGCATGAGCAACAGTGAGAAATAAAAGTCTGCATACACTTTTCAATATAACTATATGTAGTAGCAAAGATTTATTTTTTTTTCTTACGCATACACAATATAATATCCTCATTAGGCAAAGATATCTAGAGTCGCAACACGATTAGGTTTTACTAATGGCACGACAATCA